AAAAAAAAAAAAAAAGGAACAAGGCCCCCAAAACTACCTTTTCTCTCTGGGGAATCCCAGACAGAGCCACGGTCAGGGTTAAGTATTACTATCTACAGGGACAGATAACCCCTGGAGGTCGATGGGGGCAGGGCAGTCCACGGCAGTGCAGAACTTGGTCGCTTCTGTCGTCTGTTGGTCACCCAGATTCTTGCTAGCGGCTTTTGTTGTACTCCCAGGCGGTTTCCTTCAGAGGACTTTGGGCCTCAATGTTCTCTGGAGTTGCATCCCCAGAGGCCAGAGAGAGAAAGAACTTTGCAACAGTCTTCCCACTTAGAGTGCGCATTCGGCTAGGAGCCTGGATTTGTTCAGGGACAGTATGGATTTAGCTGAACTGCCAATAGTCATATTTAAAATAAATTTTTTTAAAAAAACGTTTTTAAAACACATCTTTCTGTAATCCACATTTAATCGCGTATATAAATTCATTAGTGAGACAGAGCGAAAGGCCAGGCTATACTTTGTTTTAGGTTGCAGGGCAAAAATGCATGCTTATCTCGCACAAAGAGACCCATCACTGCCTGAACGGACCCCTGGCATAAAGCAGTGCAGCCCGAAACAGATTTGTGTCACCACAAGGAGAAGTTCCTCTAGCAGGTGCCTTGTATTATGTTCTTTTTCTTCAAATCCTGAAAACACATTGTGGGGCACACAACCACAACATGGGTTACTGCCCCCAGAATTCTGATTCGCCCACAGGTCCAGTCGTATACCTAACATCTTGTCAGATTTACGGAAAGAAGGTTACTTTGCGTGATGCCTTCAACTGCTTCCAGAAAAGTTTTGAAACATGAATTTGATAGAGCAAACGTGGCATCAACAGCAAATCTTTGATTACATCGAATGAATGAATGAATGAATGAATCAGTCAATCAATCAGTAGCTTCCATTTTACAGACAAAACTAGGTTAACCCTGGGTCAACTGCCAAATATTTATTGGGCCTCAGCCATGTGCAAGGGCCGGTAAATTTAGCCGGAAGTAGTCAAAGAAATAAGACAGAGTCACGGGGCACCTGGGTGGCTCAGTGGGTTAAGCGTCTGACTTGGGCTCATCAGGTCACGATCTCACTGCTCGTGAGTTCAAGCCCCCGCGTCGGGCTCTGTGCTGATAGCTCGGAGCCTGGATCCTGCTTCAGATTCTGTCTCTCTCTCTCAAGAATAAATAAACATTAAAAAGAAAAGAAATAAGGCAGAGTCTGCAAGAATGTAGTTTCAACATTTCTATTGCTGGGATTTTAGCCACTAGGTTGAATGTGACTATATATACAGTCTTGTCACCTTCTAGAATAGTACCCACTAGCCATGTGTGGCTGTTTAACTTTGAGCTTAAACTAAATCAATTTAAACCTTCAGTTCTTAAGTCCCCGTAGCCCTATTTCAAATGCTCACAGCCACACAAATTTGAATGTGCATCAGGATCACCAGGCAGGCTCGCTAAATAGAACCCAGATTCCTGGGCCCTGCACCTATAGTTTCTGGTTCAGTAGGTCTGGTGTAGGGCCTGAGAATTTGCACTTCTAACACGCTGCCTAGTGATGCCAGTGCCCCTGCTCCAGGGACTGCTTTCTGAGCCACTAGTCTGAAAAGACAGAACCAGAGAGCGAGCCCTGGCTGTCAGAATACCTCGGAAATTCCTAGGGACATGGGCAAAGGGTGGGGGCAGATGGCATTATTGGAGCTGCACTCAGGGTGTCGTCC